GGGGCCAGGTCTAATCTCCTGTGTGCACCTGTGAGCGAGGAGGCCCAACTCACGGATTTGCAGCGTCTTAATTCCTTCTCCTGGGCTTCCCTGTGCTCCTTCTGGGCGCCTTCCTTTTTTAACTCTTCTTTGAGGGCCGAGCACTGGGTGGGGAAAGAACAGCAAAGAAAGAGCCGCCGCTGCGGGGCCATGCGGGGGTGGGGAGTGGCTCCAGGACCCGACTTGCCCGGGCACATTTCCCAGGGTCCACAGCCACTTTCGCTAGTGGCATGTGCACATCCCAAAGGCTTTTTTATTTTATTATTATTATTATTATTATTATTATTTTAGACAGAAACTCTCTTCATAGCCCCAGGCTGGCCCTGAGCTCACTTTGTAGCCCAGGCTGGTCTCGAACTTGCAATGATCTTCCTGCCTCAGCCTCCTGAGTGCTGGGATTGTAAGTGTGCACCACCATGTCTAACGCCAAAGGCTTTTAGACCCATGTTCTGCTTTGAAGGTGGTGACAGGGACAAGAGAAAGCCCCCGTGGTCCTCTGTGCATGCGGCACACTGCTGTTCTATTCTAACAGGAAGTCTGGCCGTGGAAGTATATGCTTAGAGCTGTGCTTGTTACGAGATTAAAGAAACAAATTTAGGGCCAGGGAGATAGCTCAGAGGCTATCTCCCTGGCCCTAAAGCATGAGATCCTGAGTTTGATCCCCAGCACCAATATCCGGCATTAGAACATGTGTGCCGGGTTGGAATCCACCTCCAGCCCTCTCTGAGCCGCATGCATGCTATTCACAGGGAAGCTACTGAGCCCAGACTCCAGGAGGCAATGAAATCTAAGACCAGGGCCCAGGGTAAATGACACGAGTGCGTCACGTCACTCCGGGGACGTGTGCCCCAGGACACTTACTCTGGAGCCCAGCGCCTCCAGCTGGTACCCTTTCTCTTTGTTCTGAGTCTTCAGTTGATTCACTTCTTCTTTGAGCTGTTGAACTTGCTCATTCCTTTCTACCATGTCCTTCTGCAAAGATGTCACCTTCCCTGGTTAAGAAAAGAAAACAAGACCCACTGAGAGCTAATAGGAACACTGTCCTCATCGCAGCCCCTGTCAGCCAGCTTGAGGACCACCCTGGCCCAGAGGAAGGGGCTATCTCTAGTGATCCCCGAAACCGGAATGGGGCCCAGACCAACATCCACTAACAGTCACTAATGGAAATCTCGGAGACTTGGAAGTCAGTGGTGTCGCTGTGGCAGGACAGACATGTAGGGGCCCTTTGCACAGGTCCCACAGGGCAAATGGCAGCAGGAGCCTGGCAGCGCAGAGGCCAAGAAGGACGAGGAGAGTGCCGCGGGGTTGCCACTGCCTCCCGAATGCCATGACGAGGTGGGTTGGTGGATTCACCCTCATCCCGGTTTGGAGCCCATCTCTACCACCTATTAGCCCAGTGGCCTGAGGACCCTCAAGTGGCCCTAGGGAACCAAGGCCACCCAGGTCATGCAAAGGGGACTGCAGCACCTGCTGCAGCTTTAAATCCCTGGACAGCAGCTTCTGTCAACAAGTTTTTGAATCACTAACATGGAGTGAGGTTGTGAGTATCTGTTGTTTATGCACTGGATTTTGGGACTAAGCTCCTAACTAATGCTATTATATTTATTTGGAGGAAAAGTGGAAAGACGGGTGTCGATGTGCTATGCTGTTAGATCATCTCATATGGTTCTTTCTTGGAAAAATGCTCACCCCAGCCTTGGGGGCTGGTGCATCAAGCAAGCACGTCTGTGTAATGAGCAGTTCATTTTAAAAAATGAGCTTTGTTCCAGGGCATAGTTCCTTACATCTAGGCCTCTATGCGGCATGCCTTCAAGCTTTGATAGGCGGGACCAGAGTGGCCTGCAGTCTAGGGCTAAACTATTTGAACCCAGGGCCTTTTCACTGAGCTACATGCCCAGCCCATTTTAATTTAATTTAATTTTCTAAAAAATTATTTGTCCAGTCCTAGCCCAGGCCCGGTGAGTGTGTAGGAGAGCTTCCAGCTGTCCTGCGCTGGCAGGACCTGCCAGTCCAAGCCCAGGCGCAGCGTGGGTGAGACCCCCTTCCACCCCCTTGGGACCCCCTCCACTCCGCAGCACCCCCCCCCACTCCACCCGCAGAGTGAGAATTTCTACCATGTTCTAGGGACCCCAGATCCAGTCCTAGCCCAGGCCCAGTGAGTGTGTGGGAGACCTTCCTTTCCCCGCTACTACACCTTGTCCCCTCCAGACTCAGCTCAGGCCTGGCATATGGGCCTGA